AAAATAGTGTGTAGTATTTTGTAGTATATACTCTGTCAAGTTGCTTCCTTTTCTCTCATTGTTGAGAGACAGCATTATGGCCAAAAAGGGAATAGCTTCCACTCCAATGAAATAAAACTCTACTTCAAAATCTCACAATTCAGTTAGAGTACTAACGGGTTTTTGTGCCAGTATTATGAGGCATCCTGATTATTCAGTACTGAAACTAAGACAGCATTAATGTTGTCTTGTCAGACAGCCTTACCATTACATACTGTATGGTTGGCCTTTATTTTCCATAAAATTTTGGATAAATATCCAGAGTAAGCATTCATAGAAGAAATTTTGATGTTTCAGCCAATGCTGTTCTGCGGGTAATTGGGGAAGGGAATGACTGAGGAGCTTCTACTGTATTCTAAAGCACCTTTTTGAATGAAGAAGCCCAAGAAGTGGGGTTAAACTGGTCTGAACGTTAGATATGTTTTGAAGTGTGGCGTCATTTCACATTGAGATCCATTTTGTTAAAGGACAGAACATCTGGTACATCTGAGCCTTTATGCTTTTCAGGGCAGGGACCATGTGTCTGTACAATGCTTAGTAAAATGGGGGTATTCATTGGAGCCTCTGGGCACTACTGCAATATAATCATTAAATAACGTTCACCTCTCCAAAAAACATATGTGGAAAGCATCTGACAGTTGAAAGTTTATGCATTGCTCAGATGCTGTAACGCTGCCTGAAGTACCGAGTCCCCAATATTTAATCCTAACTTTCTAGATTCTGAATTAGTTACAAAGGCAACACCTTCATCGGGAGTACAAGTCTTAAATGACCACCACTGCTCCTCACAGAAGTAACTGTACTATTTCTCTTCTGCCCCTTTACTTTCCTCAAACCAGTTGAAATTACTCTTTTCACCTACCTCTGAAGAATGTACTAAGCTCCTTCCTTTTCAAATGAAGCAATGTTCTTCCCTATTTTCTTTAACTTTACAAGTTGTCATTGTCATGGAGTAATGTGAGAAATACTTGTATTTCTGAATATGTTACCTAGCACTTGTTGGAAACGATGTGAGTCTTGTATTTTTAATTGGCTAAAATAACAGGTTAAATGTGGAAAATTCAATAAATACTTTTTTGAAAAATACATGTCTAAAAGTTCTCCTGATTTAAGTTCCTGATTGAATAACAACAAACAGTGTTAGCCTGGTGTTTTCACATCTGTCTGCAAAGCAAAAGACCCTACACCAAAAGCCGCTATCTAAAGCAGTGATTCCAAGACTGAGGCTCCCGAGCTGCAAGTAGCTCTTCAGTGTATCTTGTGCAGCTCTGCAGCACATGATAGCAAAATATTGTGTAATTTAAACAATCAGGATACTTTTACTACAGTAACCAATTGTATTTGATAAAATACTTGGTCAGTCATTTTGGGGGTGTGTGTGTGTGTATACACACACACACACCCTACATATTTTCCCATCATACTATTTAAATGTGAATGTACAGTAAATGAAAACTAATTCACACTACTGTGGCTCTTTTGGGAAATGTTAGTTGCTAATTTGGCTCCTGAACCACTGAGGTCTGAGTATCTCTGATCTAAAGCCAATGTATAGAGGGTGGAGATCAACATTCACTTGGGCTGCTTTTTAATGTTTTGAAGACATCTTGTTAGTATCACTGTAATCAGATTATAATCTGAGGATTTTCAGCCTGGCCTTTTTGGGAGAAGTGTGTTTTTTTTCAAAAGGTATTTGGAGGAAAGGGATAGAAATATGATGGAATGGGTTGCTTACGGTTATATCAAAAGAGGCTTGAAGAGGGAAATAAAACTAAGAATTTGGGTAGTTTCAGGTTTTGGGCAAAGCAACAGTGGTGTAAGGATACGGGAGCAAAGCTGTGCAGAGGGCCTTAAAGGCCAGACAAGGAGCTTGACTTTGTTGTAGAGTTGGAGGCAGTAGCAGACAAGGCAAAGTATGCATTTTTGGCAGCATTTTAGACTAACTGAAGAGCGGGTAAGCCTAGAGCAAAAGCTTGCCATTGTCAAAAAATATTTAACCTTAAATTGATTCCTTTTTATCACTGAAATTTTTACTAGCTAAAATGAAATGAGCACGTTTTAAATCTGCAACAGTCTTTTTCAGGCTAGAATATCCTGTTAGTGCACTTTAGTGTGAGTGTGAGAACTGGTTATCATGAATACATTGTGAGGGACAAATATAAATGTCTGATTGCACAGTGATGATAAAGTGCACTGGTGCTCACTGACAGGACCATGCACTACAGAGATTATTAGCAGGGATAGGGGAAGTGCAGAACTCTGAGCCTTCTTACAAGAAAGCCCCTGTATTGATCATATTGAAAGAAAATGTGCATACATGTATTTATTCAAGTGGCTTCTCCATCTTTCAGCTGCACTTCCAAATCTTCCCTCCCTCCCCCCCCCATGGTATTCAGTTTTGCAACGCTTATAGAACAGTAACCCTTCAGCTTGAGTGGGGCTGAGCCACCTCCAGTTTTAGTGATACTGTGCCAGTGAGAATATAGTGTAAAATATCATGTCATAAAGTCTCCTATAGCCCTAGGCCTACCATGGGCCACCTTCTCTATTACTTGTTTTTAGAGGCCAGGTCTGTCTGATAAGCTCTTGCGCTTATTGGGCTATGTTCCTCCCTTCTTCTCCTCCCCCCGCTAAATTTCAAGGCTCACTTT